AAAAAAGAAAGTTGGAAAACTTAATTTTCAACAACTACAGGGGAAATACTGAGTTTTTATTGTGGCTTGCAAGTTACTGTTAGGTATTACTTGTATTTTTCAACAAACAGTCAGAGCAAAGTACATGTTCTCCTTATTGACCTATGAAGATACTTGTGAACGTGCAATACAACAAACAAAAATAAGTGGTATACCATCATTAGTACAAGCTATTTCTAACATTGTTACAAAGAAACTTAAAACATGTACAATTCACCATGAAATGCAAATTTTGTCTTGCACATCTAACATGGACCTTCGTCAAATCAGACACATGCAAAAGCACAGACGAAAATATAGTTATGATAATTTGGAACCTACTCCAAAAATGAAAAGACTGTAACAGATATATTTTAGAAACAAAAGTTAGACAACAACACAAAAGTGAGACAATCCCAACTATTGATATCTGCATTAATTCAAAGAGAAAATCAGGAAAGGTCCTTGCTGGTATGCTGTGTATACAATGTTTTCACGATGAAATATACTTCCTTGCACTCAGACCATTACAATTACAATTTCATAATATATCTTTTTTAACACACACATCAATTGGCATGTACTTATCACCCTTAGGAAGGGGGACTCCTTGAATAAAAAGGACTCGGGTGCTCTTTGTACGTTTTAGGGGTTAAAAAAGGTGGGCTTGGTACCTCATAGCTTGTTTAGCCTGAAAAGGTGCACAGCAGCAGCTCCTGTGATACCTTTTAGGGTATTACACCAAAAATATGTGACAATGTGTTGTTGTAAAATTGGTGTCTTTCAGGGATGAAAAAAAATTTTATGCTACGCCCACAAACCAGGACCTTGGTACCTCTTAGTATTTCTTTTAGAACGTCTGCGCACCACGAATGGTCAACACTCATAACAGCACGTCTACCTGTAGCCTGACTTACGATCTTGGATCCTCTTGTTTTAACATTAACTTTATTTTAACATTAACCGCGTGGAGCCGTTTATATAGTGTCATATAAGGAACCGCTCGACCAATCAGATTGCTAGAAACTATGCTCAGCTCTGAAATTTTACTAATTACCTGTATATCTCTTAGTTAGAATTTGCACTATAATTGGTCAGTTCTGCAGGGAGTATTTCACTCTATAGCCTGCTGAATTCAATAGTTTGTTTGAATTGAAGTTTACTCCTACTCCCTCTCTTTGAACCCAGAGATAAATTATCGTACTAACCTTGTTTTCTTGGTCTGTACTGTGATTTACAGAACCTTATTTTTGCTGCTTGGATTTATGGCCTGTATACGCTTCTCACTTGGGCTGTAAATGCAAGTGGAAAAAAACTTGAGCAAAAACATACAGAACAGACCTACCTCAAAGTTGTTTTGTAAGGTTTTGTTCTGCAGTATTTGATGATCTGCCATTTGCTTCACGATGGTAGTAACACTGAGTGGAGTCCAATTTGGTCTGTAATCATACCAGTGATTAACAAAATCAGGGGAAGCAGGAGTCAATTTGTTAAGTGCGAGTATTATCAAGACAGATTTGGACAACAGGGGGAAGTTACCAATTAATCAAAACTTCTTATATGACAAAATTTGAGAAAGAAACTAGACTTTGGTTATAAGTTCTCATGATTTAAAAGAAAAAACATTTAACTTGGCAAAATGAACTACAACAGTGGGTGCTCATGATGATACTGTCCACTTACACAAGCAAGACATGTCTACTATCCTATGACACTGTGCAAATACAAGCACAACATGTACACTGCCCTATTAGTGGTCAAATAGGGTGGGTGATAACCAATCACATTTGAGAATTGTGTTATAAATTTGTTATTAACTGTTTAATAGGATACAGATGAACATGGTTACAAAGGACATGTCCTGTGTATGGAAGCTTTCAACAAAGCCATGCAGTCTGAAGGGGTCTTCCCTGGTGCAAACAAGAACATAAAGATTCTTGATGCTGGGGCTGGTACTGGAATCATTGGTGAGATGCTGGTTAAACAAGGCTACACAAATGTCGATGCCTTGGATATTTCACAGAAAATGTTAGATATTGCCATAAAGAAGAATGTGTACAAGCGATTCATCTGTGCACCTTTGAGTGATGTCCGCATAGAGCAGATACAGACTGCTGAATATGATGTGACATTGTGTGCAGGCACAATTGTTTATGGTCAAGCCAAGCCAGTGGCACTGGATGAGTGTATACGTCACGTAAGACCAGGTCAGTATAATGGCCAAGTAACACCATCTCATAGTCAAGATAGGTAGGTTCAGTCCATTTTTGAGCCAAGTAGCTCATCCAGTCAGAGCTTATCCCAGTTTCCATAGCGTGAGGTGACAAGGAGTATTGGAACTATGCAACCAAACACTAAGGAAATAAAACTGGAATTGTTAAATTTTCTTCCTAAGCTTTGCATTAAGAATCTACAAGCAGAGAACTTTAGCCTCCTGGAAAGCTTTTCAAAAGGTGGNCTTGTTAGCTCAATTGGTAGAGCGCTGCACTAGTATCGCAGAGGTCAGTGGTTCGAATCCCGTATAGGCCTGAATTTTTTTTTTCAGGTCTGATTTTCACTATTGCTTAAATAGTGCTTTACTGCGAAAGATCGTGCACATATACGTAAATAAAGGTCTTTATTAAGAATTATTGTGCAAACAGACGTGCAACAATTAACATGAATACAATGAATAAGGAAAAAGAAAAGGTATTAATTACTATTGAAAAGACATCTATTAATAAAAACTTATTTATAACGGCTTGTCTGAACCTTGGGTAAAATATAATTATGCGACCTAGTTCTCAACTGCCGTGTTCTCTGGGGAGGTAAGAGATCGCTCAACGCAGTGTTGATGGAAGAGATCCTTTGCCATAATTTGTTATCTCTATTACAACGGATATCCAAGATACTGTGCTGCTTTAAGCAGTAACCCAGCTTATAACACCTGGCAAAGAGCTTATCAATTCTCCTTAAATATTTACTATAAAAAGCATACCCCCAGACCTCAATAGCATATATAAAAACTGAAAGAATCAAACTTTGAAAAAGTAAGTCCAAATTCTCAATAGAGTAGCCATAATATTTACATATTCTTAAAATATACAACCTACTGCTAGCCTTACTAAGTAGATATATAATCAATACGAGTGTCCCAGTTAACTGGCACTTGCTCAAAGGTAACACCCAATAATTTGGATATATCAACAAAGTTGAAATGGTAAATTGGTCACCGTAACGATTACAAAAGCTGACGTTTCGAGCACTAGCCCTTCGTCGGAGCAAATAGAGGAATTGTGGGTTGTTTGTGCTTTTAAAGGCAGAAAAAGGAACTACGTCATTGGTTCGTTATTGGTAACACCCAATAGTTTCAGTTTCTCTTTGCTCCCTATGATCTCGAGTGGTTCAGGAGGCGTCTTGGAAGTCTTTCCTCCTAAAAGAAGTTTCCATGTTTTCTTCAAGTTGACTTTCATGCAGTTCTTCTCGGACCATTCAATAAAGGATAGGACTTCCGTTTCGGATTCATCTAAGCCTACATTTGCCTCAATTGGTAAACTAATAGTTATATCATCAGCAAATTTCACTAGAAGATTTCTTTTAGTATTAACAGCTTCGATATCGTTAATAAAAATAGAAAATAAGACCGGCCCCAGGACTGTACCTTGAGGAACACCCCTATTTATAGAAACTTATAGTTCATCACTGAATTTTCTCCGGTTCTTATCGGTTTAAATCGATCACGTGACGCGATAGTGTTCATCCGTGGAGAGACACTATTTAAACAATAGAGTGTTTCTGTCGAGGAACTATCAGCTGATAGTTGCCCCGCGAAAATTTGATGTTCTTAAAACAAATATGCTAGTTTTAGGGACATCAAATTCACAAGGGGCGACTATCAGACCGATAGTTTCGAGATATAAACACTCTATTGTTTTTATTGTTCACCACTAAATTTCTTCCGCGCCTACAGCTTGTCACAAATGTCAATAATTCGCAACCGTACATTGGCTAAATAATACGTTTTACCTGTCAGAATTGCAAAGTCACTTTTTCCGATCTGCCTAACTTCGCGGCCGTCAAACTATTCAAAACTTTTCACGGATGAGTACTATCAATCCAGGTATTTTNTTTTTTAATCGACGTCTTCCGTGGCGTTTCCGTCGTGACTGCTTAAGTTCCCTATTATAGTAATGGGTGCGCCTTGAGTATTCGAGTGCCAGTTGATATCTTGTCCTAATCGCGGTACACATTTCCACTTTCTTGCGCGAGGTCATTAGAGACGTTTTGAACTCAGTGTCGAAAGTAACAAAAGTGCTCCAGGTTTGCTTAAGTTTAACTATAACTGCGACTGGTCCAGAAAATTCGCGCTACTTTCTCAGCCAATCAGGTTCAAATCTGAGACCAATCCTTATCTGGACACTCGCGTTTTCCCGCCTTTGTGTAGCTTGCCTGTTTTGTTACTTGGAGTTCTGATTGGCTGATGATGATACAAATGTAAAAATCGACTTGTAAGTCTGATCGCTAAGTATGCACTGCAATTATTATCTAAAATTTTTATTTCTGAGTACACTTTTACTAAAACTATCACGTTTTTCAGTTTGGAAATAAGTTTTGAGCAGATATAATTTCATTGATTAAAGCTTGTTTTGGTTAAAAGACGAATTATTTTAGATTTATAGCGCGCTGTCTTCTTTAAGAGTTTACCCAATTAAGAGAAAAAAAACATCCAAAACTGCGTTGACGATGTTCAATTCAGTTGATTGATACGACAGCTGTGTATTTACGGAATATGATGCACATGGGAAGTTTTATGAGCACACAAGAAACTCCAGTTGCTCGAGGCTCTTCTTGAGCGGTTCTCAAAACCTCCCGCGTGTTTCCCATCTCCATTTATGATATTTAGGAGGTGAGAAGTGAGAGCTAAACTCTCTTAAACTCAATAGGTGGTTTGCAACCAATCTCCAGAGACACAGGTAACAACGGTGAAAGGAACAAATGCTGGTGGACGAACAAAAGGAACTAATGAGATGTCTATTGTTTACGTCCACCAACATGGCGGCGATGACGTAACGTGCAAACCACCTATACGACCACTTCATCTGGGAACCGAGTGGCGTATTTCTGGTACGGTTGTACGAGTGGCGGTATTGAGTTACGACATGTATGATCTAAAGATTATATGAGCTAAAGATTTCTAGAAAGTTTATGTTCGTTTATTTAATAACTTCGCCTAACAACAACAATCAATGTAAATAAATTAAAAAAGAAGAAAATAACAATAAATGACAAAAAGAAAAAAGCAAAAAAAAAACAAAATGGGAGGGACACCGCAACAGCATTGCCTAAAGTTTGTTTGCAACCAATCTCTAGAACCACAGGTAACAATGGTGAAAGCAACAAATGCTGGTGGACGAACAAAAGAAGCTAATGAGATATCTATTGTTTACGTCCACCAACATGGCGGCAATGACGTAACGTGCAAACCACCTATTACGGCGGGCTCAGAAGTTGCGATGCGACAAAGGTAAAATTTTGTTCTGTCCGTGCTAAAACAGCCTTCATAGGGTCGTTGTGAAAAGAGGCTGACAATGATTCAAGTAGGATCAAGTTATCAAATTGTTATTAAGCTTAATTATAAAACCAATTCATTTGTATTTTTCGCCTACCAGACGGTGTTACATGTAAAAACCTTGTTATAATTTGAGCACCAGGTACTTTGTTTCCAGTGATAGCCAAGATCTGTATTAAAGCCAGCTTTTTAATCTCTACCATGTATATTTTATTGTCCATATAATAAGAAGAAAACTACGCGTTACCTCAAAAGTATGAATTTTCTGTGCTCGTGGCACGAATAATTCACGAATATGCGCCCGCTCGTGGGATATTTTTCTTCCCACTCAGACAAGAACTCCTATCTTTTCATCACCATGTAATATCCTCTAAGAACGCAGGGTGACGTTAGAACCAATTGTTAAATAAACCTCGTTATATTACTTATTTTAAAGCGACCAGGATATGTTCTATCGCTGAGTAGGTTGTTTTGATAACTTTGGTTCCAGGTTTAATACAATTAATCGTAAAGCGCCCTAAACTCATTCTCTTTTCGCCGATGTAAATATCTTATCCTTTTATGAAACGAAGAGTAGAAAGCGGACATCAAAAAATCAATTTTTAGTATTAATTTAAACTTAATTAAGTTATGTACTGTTTTCTGGGTGACATTCTATTTCCTATGGTGTCCAATATCAAAAATGTTCTTAGTCATTCCTCTTCTATTGTTTCTCCATGCTTTTCACTAAAAATAGACAACTAGTGTACTACTAAAGAGGAAATGATTGCGCAAAATTTTGATCTCCTAGATCGGGACAACAAGGGAGATCTAACCAAGATCAGATAGCTTTAATTATCTGCCTGCCTTGAAACAGCAATAGCTAAATAGACGTCCTTGCTTTCTGCCAGCTTTCAGGTTTTTGCAGTAGAGAGTGAAGATTTTCCTTTTCTGCATGAGAACAAAAGTGTTTTTCTCTTTTTGCTTTCCCATTTTTAATCGCAAACTTTACTCTTCAGACAAGAGAATAACTATTAAATGAAAAAAAAAAAATTAAATCAAAGTGAACCACTGATAATGGCCCTCTTGTGTTCCCGCGTTTTGAATTTGATAAAACTGTATTTAAATGGACTTTCAAATGGAAATGCAAGCAGTCGTTCCCCTTTAGTTGAAGGAGACTCAAGATTTCGGTGTAAGTGAACGTAAAGCTAGTGGACGAAAAGGAATAAACTAGGTTTTAACCTGAGTCCTAAAAAATCGTAAGCATTTTGTAATATTTGACCGTTCTTTAAATATTCAATTTTGTAATCAAAGACTGGCACTAGCGGAAGACTCTGGGGAAAAAAAAATCATTTTTATAGTTAACACCATCAATCCTGAGTTTATTGAAGCACATGAGGGCGATGCACTGCAAGCTCTCTTGAGTATTGGTTCAGTTCCAAAAACATTTTAAGATTTTCGTTTGACTTTATTTTTCCCTTTAAGGCAGTTTGAATACAGAAGAGGATGTCTCAAACAACTTCCCAAGATCCTTTTGGTCGCTCGAGAGCAGAAATTTCTTTGGAGGTGTCCTTCGCCATTCTGATCTGCCTCACTTCCATACTTGGTAATGTGCTGGTACTTTACGTTATTAATAAGTACTCCGAGATGCAAACCATCACCAACATTTTCATTCACAATCTCGCACTGACAGATATCTTCATGGCAACTATTAACATGCCGGTCTG